GCAAAGTTTTTGGGTTTCCACAAACCTTTGAGAAAAATTTGAACCAACTCTAATCTAAAATAAATTCCGACCTTCCTCTCAAGAGACACGTTCTCACGGAAAAGCAGCTTCGTTTGCTCAGAAACCCCATGTGCTACAAAACCCAAACCACTTCGGATCCTCTCGACAGGGTGGGATGAGGTTCCTCTCCTTAGCTCAGCTTCCCCACCTGCACATACTATTGCAAGCGCTGCCCCAACCCTTCCAGACCAGCAGCTTGTCACAGCACACCCCTCACCAACAAACGAGCTAAATCCACTCCTGGGTTTGGGTACTCAACTATTACTGCATTGCTAAGATCAGGGCTCCGACAGCTCATCTCTGCCCCAAGGTCCCGCTGCTCCTGGGAGTTATCAGACCACTTTTGACACTGAACTACCACCTTTGTGGGGGCAAAATCTAACCAAACCATGTAAATTCACGTTTGCCTGTGCCAAAACCAGGTATTGGGACCCAATACTGGAAGTATGCCTTTAAACTCTCCTTTTACAAGGATAGTGTTTATTTACATTTAGGAAAGAGAACCAGAAATCACACGTAGATCCAAGCTCTGCCCCCACTCCACACGTTGCAAGCTTTTGGGCTGTTCTTTTAACTTGTGAACTACTAAATATTGTCATAGTTGGGTGCAATGCAGTGACAGTGAACGGTACCCACGCTTAGAGCAGCTTTTCGCGCTGAACGCAGAGCAGGCGCCCCAAAATGCCCCCGATTTACACGCGGTCTGCGCAGTATCTTCAGTAGCTTGCATGTGATGAAGGCTTCTGTCATCACTCTGGGACACAGGCGAACGGAGCCAGGTTACAGGAGGCATTGCTTCCTTCGATGCTGCTGGCGGCTGCTGCGAGAGCTCCTCTCACTCAGGCAGTGACCAAGCCTGACCTAATCCCTCCAGACCTCACCTTCAACCACAGGTTAAACAAGGACAAGAGCCCTCTGCCTCACCAGGATGTTGAGGCAGCATGGGCAGGTAGAAAGCTTCGAGATCCTGGCATGAAAGGCATCCAAGGCTCTAAATATTATTATAAATTTCATACTGTGATGGGACACGTGCCATAAGAAATGGGGTCAAAAGGAAAATGAGGGATATGTCTTTTTAATGAGTATTTTACCATAACTGCTCACTAACACACACATCTCTCTTTCTAGTTGAAAAGCAATCAAGTAAGAAATAATTTGAAAAATGTAAATGAAGGAGAACATGTACTTAGGATTGGAAAATAGTTCTCTACCACAGTAGCTTAACAGGCTTACCTGGGGGCTGTCCCTCACAGGGCGGAGGGGATTCGGTTTGATAAGCACCTGAACTCAGTGGCAATCCCCACCCAACACAGTCCCATCGACGCTGCAAATCCCAGAGGGCAGCTGGGATCTAAGGCAGCATCATTTGCCTGTACGACTGGATCCTTCCAGCTCATTCTAAAACTGCAACAAAGGAAATGTCATTTTTTCAATGCCCAAAGAGTTTGAGTAGAGGATTTGCTTCCACGCACCCATGAACAGACACCCTAGCAGAGACTGAATTACTATTACACTCAGCTGAAAAACCCCAAACGTACTACTAGACCATTAACTGTCAGCACACCTTTTCTTCCTCGTTTTGATAATTTGACAAAACTATCTGTTTAAAACTCCTTTTCTTCAAATTCCAAACCAGAATTTTATTTTCTGCTGTGAATACTTAAATTTCAAGCATGAGGTGGAAATAACACCATAACAGACACATTAAGAACAGGTTTAAGAACACTTTCATTATTATATAAATTACAGTTTTAAACATTTAGAGCACTCGCATTTCAAAACAGAAAATGTTCAGTTCCACACTGAGATACTAGTGCAAAAAGTGGTTTATCTACGTGCAAACAAGTTACATGTCCCCACTGACAGCCAATGGATTAGGCTGTTCTTAATGTAACTCTGGAGTCCACAACTAACAATTACATTACCCGCTAAATCTGAGCACCTTGTAGTCAACAGAGATACTGGACTTTGGTAACAACCAAATACTCTGACAGTACAAACAAGAGAAGAACAATTCGACTTCAAGCAGACCTGCGAATTCACTGGGATTGGAGACCACCACCATCATGTTCCTGACCTGACTTTAGTTATAAATAAGTGGATGCCCAATGTTCTATTTGACACTCAATTCCAGTCATTAAAATGCAATAAAGCTCACGTGCATGCAGGTATTGTATTCCAGTGAATGCCACGGATCATCTCTGGCACATGATAGTCCCTGAACACAGGAATATTCATGACAAAAATCTTGATCTGGCACGAGGATAAATGAGGATAAACTCAAAATATCCTTCCCATCTCCAACACCAATAATTGTTGCTGAAAAATTTATTAAAACCAAGACTGAAATACAGCAATGCCTCTCAGTTACACAAAACATACTAAACACCAAGTTTCACTAGATCCAAGCAAACCAGAGCTTTTTCAACCCACAGATGCTAGAGTATGGGGTCACCGCAGTGAAATACAGGTCACTTTGTCAGAAGCAGTTACTGGTATCTTTGAAATCTGCGTTCATTTCTCTTAAAGAACTGTTACAATGTAAAACCAAAATGAGACACTTCATAAATAACATCTTTATTAATGGATTTTCTTTTTCACATTCTTTAAAGTGATGTTTAATTGAAATCTGCATAGTCAAGAGTGAAAAAAAAAAGTTTTTCATAGAAGTCAGACCCAAACGTGAACGTTGCTTTTTAAGTTCAGTAAGACTGGTCACAATCATGGGAATAAGCAACCTCTAGAAAGAAACGACCAGGTAGATGTGGAGAGGGTGGGGATGAAAACCACCAGAAAAACTCTCATCGGTGTATTTGTCTACAAATGAAGTCTTCACACAAAGACACACAACACCCATTCACATTCCTGTGCGTAACAGAACGTAAACTACAGAAGAAAGACGCTTCCTCTACTGAATGAAATGAAACAGAGCGAGATTATTTGTGTATTTAAGCGGGGGTTGATCAGCGATTCCCAGAACAGGAACCATTACAATACCCAGGTGGATAAACACAAGGTCCAGGTTTCTTCATGCCCTTACTACAACCACATTTCAACTAGCATCCTACAGTGGGAAACATGAAATCTGAGGTTTTCCATAATACGAGGAATTACTCTTATCACACACTTTCAAAGCAGTATCACCTCCCTTCTTTTTTAATCCTTAATACTATCACCCCTTTCCTTACTTCTAATGTTACCACAGTTGGTCGGAA